TCTCCTCAACCTTGTCATTTCCTAGACAAACATAAAAGCCATTATGATATGTTGTTTTTATTGCAGAATTTACTAAACCCTTTCTGAACTCTGAAGTGTAGTTCCTCCTACATTCTGCACCCCTGACTCTTCAGCTGTCTTCTTTATTCTTTCTGCCCGGTCCCCTCACTGCTGGAGGATGCCTGGGCTGCATGTCCTTGCCTGTTCTTAATGACATTCTGTCCTCTAATCTGGGGAACCCATCTAAGGGCCACCTACCTACACTTACAAAGAGAACAGGGTGATGCCTGCTACCTTCACGGGTTTTGACTTAGATGCACCGTTGAGCTTAGCAGTACCTGGTGAGGCTGGGGACCCTGGTCCAGGCTGGCCTGGGACAGGATGGAGTGGGGAGGTGTCCACCCCCACTGGCAACACTGTAAGAAGGCCGGGCAGGCAGCTTCTGAGACAGGCTTCATGGGAGGCCCTGTGTGACCTCGTGGGATGTGCAAGATGCCCTGGCCTCTGTATCAGGATTCCACCCGAGAAAGAACCAGTAGGAGATATATATTAAGAAACTTTCTGCAAGGAATTGGCTCTCACGATCACAGGCGCTGGTTGGGCATATCTGAAGTCTGTAAGGCGGGCCAGCAGGAAAGATGGGCTAGAACTCTGGGTCACATGGTGAAGTTGCCGTCGCTGGTGGAATTTTTCTTCCTCAAGGAAGGAAGCCTCTGCTGTTTTTTTAGGGTTTTTCAACAGATTAGGTCAGGCCCACTCAAGTTATCTGGGATCATCTCCCTTACTTAAAGTCAACAGATTACAGACTTTAATAGCATCTATCAAATATCTTCACAGTGACACCGAGGTTAGTGTGTGATTGAATGCCTGGGACTGTGGCCTAGTGACACTGACATGCAGGACTGACCCTTATACCCTCTTTCCCAGGAGTGGCTGTGGTGCCAGCTGGTGACATCCCAGCTGTGACACCTCGCTCCCTCAGGACTTCCTCCTCTGTTGCCTGGAGTGACTGATCTGGGCAGCACAACTTTCTTTTTTTCCAGGAAATTTGTGAGAATCTGAAAACTTACGAAAAGCACATCTTTCTGGGCTTGCAGCCTCCTGACAATGCCACGTTTTCAGCAGAGCTTTGGGGCTGCTCCTGTACCGTGTGCTCTGTCGTGGTCGTGACCCTGTTTATTTGCTGAACAGATGCCTCAGTTCAATCTTAATTACCTGCTGTTTAGTTCTCATAACCTTCAGTAATTTCTCTGCTTGTTGACAAGTATACCTAACTTGTACGAGTAGCTTGTAAGCCTTTTCCATGAAGGCGTTTAGGGGAAAAGCAGTTTTAACCATAGGGATTTTTGGTGTAGTTTTCTCAAATTCACTTCTGTTTTTTTTTTTTTTTTTTTCCTCTGGGTCTGAGAGAACCTCCATGAAATAAAATATATGGAGAAGAGAGTGGAGACTGTCACTGTAGATTATTTCTCTTTTCTTGTCTTTTAGAAACCTCAGACCTACTCTGAAACTCACTGGGTCAGGTGAACAATAAATGAGACCAAATAAGTCTCATCTGGTCAATTGAGACCAAAGAGTGGCTCAGCAATAATCATAATGTGATATATAGTAATAATGTGTAATATTGTTGTAACTGCTAACACACAGCGCTTACAATATCTGGTCACTATATGCTGTTAATGCTTACAACACCCCATTTGGCAGGTGACAGAACTGAAGCACAGAACTCCTAGGTGACTGAACTAAGGTTGCAGGCTCATAAGTACCAGGCACAGGATTCAAACCCAGGCAGAGTCTAGGCTCGTAACTACAGCACACTGGACACTTGAGATATTTTTATGAATCTGATGCATCGCCTAAGGTGATAATTTATTGTGACCCTTAATTGGTTTACATAATCAGGGGGAGTCTTGCTGCCCCTAAATGAAAATCTACTAAGACACTTTGGGGTTGACTCCATTGGCAAAGAAATTGGCCCAAAGTAGTACCAGACACCACTTCCAGCCATGGTCTTCCACAGGGGCTGTGGAGCCTGCTTGCGGTTGGCCTGCTGTCCCCGATAGCCAGGCCCTGAGGAGGCAGTTGGATTGTGGACACTGTTCTCAGGTGGCTGGAACCATCTCCAAGGTGTGTGAGCCACTGCACCAGCCGCTCCTGCTTGCAGAGCTGAGCAGAAGCAGCCTCCTGCAGCCACCATCCCTCCTGATAGATGCCGGGACTCAAGGCTTTACTGTTCTTTCCTCTGCTGCTTCAGAAAAACTGATTTCTCATCATCTGAAAGTAACGTGTGATTAATGACAAGCCTAGAGTGCCTGCAGTTCCTTGGTAATTGCTTTTTTAAAAAACATCTTTTTGGCCACCTTCAGAGCATAGTTGGATTCAGGCAGTTTGGAAAGAATTTCCGGAGAGTCAAGGCAAAAATTCTCTAAGTGGTCACACCTGCGTCCTTACGTCAAGTCAGTGTGTTTTTCCATTGCCCCGGCAGGAATGCTAAATACCAAGTGTGTGCTGGAGCGCTCTGCCTTTATCTACCTGATGAAATAAAGTCTCTGCTAGGATTCCCAGCAAAAGCACAAGGGGTGGAAAGGTCAGAAAACGGTCCCACTTCTTCAGACCCCGTAGATGTGTGTCTGGGAGGCAAAACATGCTTACGGTTTTGGGGAAACACAACAAGCCCGTGCTTCTCAAGGAGTCATCTGAGGATCTTGTTAAAATGCAGGTGCCGATTCTGCATGTCTGGGGGGCCCGAGATGCCACATTTTTGACACACTCCCATGTGATGCTGACACTGTCCGTGGACCACGCTTCAGGAAGCCAGGCGTTGGGGACTGCTCAGACCACTTAGAGAAGAGGAATGAGAGAACCTTTTCAGAAGGAAAACTAGGACAATTAATTGTCTTATGGGCGGTCACATTCACAGTCGTGCAGCCAAGGGAGACTGAAGTCAGACTGTAGTTTCTCTTGCCCGTCAAGGGACAGTTCCTCCGTCATCTGCAAACCTAGACTCTTGTCTAGGAAGTAGCCTTTATGCATGATGCCTGTAGGTTAGTGGGATGAGACGTCTCAAAGGGGGACTGTGGTCAAAGAATTGTAGCTGCAGGTATTTTCCTACTCACTGTGTGACTAAGTTAAAGAGAGAGGCAGTGAAGAAAAAAAACACAAGCAGTGTCAGTGTCTGCTGCACCCGCAAACCTGCCGACATGAAGCCATCGTGCTGTTTTGACATTATCTCTCTGACTTCGTTCAAAGGTTACCTGGGTGGCCAAGTGCTGAATCTCCTTATCTGATACTGCCCACGCCAAGCCCCCAAACACCAAACTTACCATGGCTAAAGTAGATTTTCAGTTTCCATAGCAGCAAAGCTACTGCTTGTGCTTAAGTGAAGACTAGAACCTGCGACTGCTAGTATTTTCTGAGAAGACCATGTTCTCTTTATTATTTTTAAGAGCAGGAATGCCAGCTCTGGACCCTGCTAGGAAGTACTCTTTAGAGTGGAGCTGGCGTGTGGTGTTGGAAGGAACAGCATTGCAGCAAACGGCCAGGAGTGGGCTGTTTAATATTGTTTTGCTGATTAAATGGTAAAAAGCTCTTTATGGGCTGTATTCAGTGGGGCCAGGCTTCTCTCCTGCTCACAATAGCTGTGATGATGGTCTGTTTGTTTGTGGCCGAGCAGGAGTGGAAATTCTGATGACGTTACTGTTCTCCTGCAGGTGAGCCGGTGCAGGTGCTGGCTGGCACTGCACACTATGCTTGCTAGGGCTGAGGATATCCATGTAGCCAGGTGTCACTTATCTGCCCTCCCTCTAATCTGCTCCCCTTCTTATTGCCTTTTTGATCTCCTGTCTCTACTGTGATCTCTAGACAACCAGCAGATGAGCTGTCGCAGCTGGTCTGCAAAGCCCACCATCTGAACAGTCTCTGGACAAAAAGCCTTGAAAAGCATTCTGTCCTGAGGGTTTTTCTTCTCCTCCTCCTCCTCCTCCTTCATCATTTTAACTAAACTTGGAAAAAAAGAAAAAACAAAACAAGCAAGCAAGAAAATTTGGGGGAATGCTGCATATTATAGAAGGAAAATAGCAAATGTACACGCTCCATAGGGGAAAAAATATATTAACTCTAGCTGCTTTTTTAGTATCAAGGACCTGTACTATAGGGATTAGTGTAGCAGGGCTGCATTGGTTATCACTTCTGTGCTACAGATTGAAGTTTGTGTCCATCCTCTTTGCTCAAGGTCAAATTAAGAGAATAGATTCTTGCAAGCAGGAGGGACCATGGTTTCCTTTCCATCAATGGGCATTTGTTGAAAACAGGTGCTGTTTTTCGTTTTGGAACTAGGAAGATGAATCAGGAGGAGCTGTGTCTGTTTAACAGGGACCGACGGAGGATGCAGAACACACCCGTGTTACGTGGGCAGCAGGATTCCAGTGTGGACGGGGAGCTGTCCCGTCCAGTCATCACTGTGTGATCTGAGTCTGCTTTACTGTTTGTTTTTGTCTTGTTTAAACAGATGAGCTGTCTTGGTCTTGCGGTGTGAGTGTTGCCTGGAACTCAGAATTCTCAAGGAGCCCTGGAGTTGGGTCCAGAAGGAGTGGGCAGTGCAGATCGGTGGGGGTTTGTGGGTGGATGTTCCTTGTGCCCTGTCCAGAAGCTGAGAGGGTCCCCTAGGTCAGTGGGAAGGAATGGCAACAGGATGGGCATGAGGAAACACACTGGACAGCAAGCTCTGTCCCCATCAGAAGCAGCACTTCCCAGTTTCTGAGCACCCTTTTGCCACCAACTTGCTTTGTGACCTGAGCAGTGACCTTGCTCTCTTCCTGGTGGGGCGCCTTGGTTCACTCATCTGTAAAACACAGGCATACAGCACGGGGCTCTTGCGGTAGGTGGCATGTACCAACGATGTCACAGCTCATCGGTTGAGCAGTGCCCTGGCCCTGGCTCCCCGGGACTCCCCAGCCATCAGACAGGACACTCATGTCTCTCTTGTTGGTTCTGTGTTCCAGGCATAGAGCTGTGCCCCCCTGGAAAACGATTCATGATCACGATGGTGGCGAGCTTCGTGGCCACCGCGGGCCAGCTGCTCATGCCGGGGCTGGCCGCCCTGTGCCGGGACTGGCAGGTGCTGCAGGCGCTCATCATCTGCCCCTTCCTGCTCATGCTGCTCTACTGGTCGTGAGTACCCCCCGCACCCCTGTGCCCCCGGATCCCCGCTGCCTTCAGCTTGTGGCTTTTCTGACTGAGGGGATTTTCCTCTCTCTTTTTAAAAATGTCACCTTTCCAACTTTTTATCTTGGGAAACGTTCAGACATACACAAAAGTAGACACAAGAGTGGAATGAACCCCCATGTGCCCTATACCCAGCTCCAGAACCGACCACAGTCAGTCTGTGTGCCGCAGCCCACCCCTCGGGGTTATTTTGACATGCATTTTTATGAAGGGACTGGGTGGGGGGCTTCTCGTATGGGGAGAGGAAATAGGGAGATGTTAAAGGAGAGATTTAGAAAAGTTTTCATCTCCTCTAGGTGAGGGGTAGGCAAACTTCAGCCCTTCAGCCCTTCAGCCCTTCAGCCCATGGGCCAGATCCGGCCCGGCGTGTGTTTTTGTACATAAAGTTTTATTGGCACACAGTCACGCTCCTGTGCTTATGTATGGGTTGCCTGTGGCTGCTTTCCTGCTGCAGAGGCAGAGTTGAGTAGAGGCAACAGAGACGGTATGGCCCTTTACAGAAAAAAGTTTGTTTGAGCAGATGAGCAATATGACTTTTAGAACCACGTGTCACTTTAAGTTTTTGACTTGTTGACTTTGGAAAAAACACTAAAAACACTGGTTTTGCAGGTATGACCTGGGCAACTGGATTTTTAAAAACTCTACAAGGGATTAATGTTTAACCAAGATTTAAAACCACTGCTCTGTAGATAAAGAAAGGTTTAGGAAAAAAGGGTTGCTTTGCCTTTTTTGGTAAATAACTCCTTTCTTTCCCTTCCCTCCCATTCCGCTCCATGACGATACACTCACTTTGCCTGCAACTACCATACGCTGTAGTGTGGACTGTGCATGCTACACTGTATCACTGTTCTGTAGTCACTAATGAAAACCAAATTTCTGGCTCACCCAGGCAGGTGTGTCCTTGCTTCCAGTGTTCAATGGGGCTGAGAGGGTGTTAATCAGGCTTTCTTTCCTAAGGTGCCAGGGAGGGAAGCAAGCACCTGCCTTTTCACTTGATGGTACTGGCCCCCAGACCACCCTGGTAGTGGGTCCCCCTGCAGAGAAATAGTGGGGAGCACGGGTGCAGGTGTGTTTTCCTCATGAGCCTGGGTCTTGCTTTCTGTGTCATCAGAACCTCAGCAGCTACAGGGCCAGCAATAGCAGATTAGAAAAAGGGGCCACCCTGCAGGGAGACCATCCACAGCCACAGCTGCCAGAACTGGGCTCCTCTGCCGGCGCCTCCTACAGCCCTCGCCCTGAAGTCGGCCGTCCACACCCCTCCCGCGCTGGCCTCAGGAGCCAGGCGTGTTCCTTTGCCTTCAGCAGGGTATTAGGAGGCAAAGAATGAGATTTGTTTCCCTGGAGCAGGATGGAGCCAGCAGCTCTCTTCCTTTTATCTTCTAAAGAAGCCCTTCCTGCCCCTCTTTTGTGGCGTCTGTCACTGGGCTTCGCTTGTGCTAGAATTCAGGTGCATTGAGTTATCTAATAAAAGCTTGCTCTGGGCTTTACTCTGTGCCAGGCACAGATTGCAAGCACTTTACAAATAGTAAATGGTTCAATCCTCATATCTTAGCAGCCCATTGTACAGAGGACAGAACTGCAGTCCCTTGCTGCCACGTGTCAGAGCCTGGACCTGAAGCCCAGCCACTCTTACCACACATCGTGGTACTGTCCCCTGCCATCCCTCAGCTTCCATCCCTTGTCCCTGCACCAAGACCCTCCCTGCCCACCTCCTCTGCTCCTGACCTCCACCACCACCCCCCCGCAGGGACACCAGTGCTATCTCCTGGCCCAGGGGGCTAAAGGCCTGCGATGTGGGGGGACACCGTCTCTTGGAGACTCACACTCCTAGAAGGGCAGACAGGGTGTTTCCCAGGTAGGAGGACACCTGACAGAAGAGAAGTGGCAGAGATAGGCTTCCTGGATCAGCTCTAGGTCTGCAAGGCTGGCCTGTGCAGGAAAGAGCTGGGGTTCTTTTGTTTGTCTGTTTGTTTTCATTTAAATTTTAGAAATATATTGAGGTTTAATGACAGGCAAGGCAAGATGCTCATTTATTTAAATACATCATAAAACCTAAGAAAAATCATTTGAAATACACAAATTTAAAAACAAATTTGTACGACTTGAAAAGGCATCCAGGAGGGGACGTTAACATGTAAAAGCGTGTGTGTGTGTGGTGGACGGTGGTCTGGTGTCCTGAGGTTCTGCACCGCATGCTTATAGCTCTGGCACTGCATCTGGGTAGAGCTGGTCCCGTGCCTGGCCACGCCGTCTCCAGCGGCCTGCTTTCCATCTCTCTGAGCCCCCCTTTCTCATCTCCGTAAAAGCAGGTCATAATAGCTCCTATCTCATTGGGTTGTTTTGAAGACTGAAATAATACACTAAAATAATACACACAAAGGGGAAGCCTGGAGGGAGAGTGGAAGGGAGGCTCAGGCACTTAATAGCTGTGTGACCTTGAGCAGGTCACTTAACCTCTCTGTGTGTTTGGCTTATCAGCTCTCAGTCATAGTGGTCAGTCATGGGGTTGGGAGGAGTCAATGAATTAACACATGAGAAGCACTTAAAATGGTGCGTCTCACTTCTTGCCATATGTATGTTAACTGCTATGATAATCATAATTACTATATTTTATGTTTACGTTATTTGTATTGTATGTTTGCATTGTATTATTGTATATTTGTGTTATTAGGTGCTTAGCACAAGTCTGGTCTATAAATGCTCATAAATATTAAATATTAGCTGCTATTATTATTATCACTTCTTCATAGGTATAGCAGTCTGGGTGTGATGGAGATAGGTAAAAAAAAAATCACCTTTGCTACCAGTCCTGAAAGGCTCCATGAGAATTATTGGCTTTTAAAGACTACTGAGGTGTGCCTACCATTTTTTATCATCTCCCTAATCACCACCCTTCCTCCCATCTGCTGCAGGAGGCTCTGTTGTTTGACAGGATGAAGTGGACTGCTGGGGAGAGAGGGTGAGCTGCAGCACCAGCTAGCATGACCAGCTGTTGGTGACAAAATATTGAAAGTCACTCGCTCTCTTTAATGAGCAAGTGTCTACTGCATGTACCCAGGATGCCCAGCACTGCATTTGGTACTTTGCAGTAACTCCAAAGAGCAGAGGTGAAAGCACGTGCATTAACAAAGACTAAAAGCCAAACTGCAGGAGGCAAAATCCCCAGGGGGCAGTTCCTGGGGTAGGAGCACTAAAGACAATGGTGTGGAGATTGGCCAGAAGGGATCTTCTGGTCAAGATGGTGGACTGAATGGACAGGGACCCCTCCAAACACACACACAAATGCTAGATAAAGTACAAAATTAAAAAAAAAGAAAACAATGCTGAGCTCCAGTGCAAGAAAGGGAAGTTCCCAGGGACCAGACCAAGGAGAGGATACCAGTAGCAGCACGAAGACAGCTCACAGGGCATCAGAACCAGAAAGAAGCCCAAGGAGCTTGGGTTACAAACCTGCCCAGGTGTATGGAGCTGAGCTTTCAGGCCTCTAATGCAATTAGAATTGCCCTCTTTGAAAAAAGCAAGGAGTCGAAACTTAGTGACAACAGGACTGGAATATCTTTGCCCACCACAGGGACTCAGCCCAAAGCTCACTGATTGCCTCGCCCTATGGGCAGAAAAGTTTCACCTTGAAGTCTGCACCACACATGGCTTACATGTTCCAAATTCCAGCCACTCTCTAAGGCTCAGAAATCAATGTAAGAACCAGTGAAACTCATTGGACCCCTGAGGGTCCAAAACAGAGCCTCCCATGTAGGCTGTTAAAACTCACACCACAGACAATTCTTGTCAAAGATGAGCTCACAGGCAAAATTTACAGAACCATGGGGAAACCATTAAGAGGGCCAAAATCTGTGGATTGGGGAGTTTACATCTCAGGAACTACAGAAAATAGAGCCATCTAAAAGGGAGGTTACTTTAGCTAGTGTTTGTTGAGTAGTTACATCTCCCCCACACCAGTGCTATTCTAGAGACCAAGTGTTCTAGATAACTGCACATGCACATGAACTAGTCCCTACTCACTCAAAAAATACATTACAGGGGGTGGGGGGAGCCCACAGACTGTAAACCCATAAACAAGCCAGCCATATGCTTTCATATAATCAGCACTGTGAAGAAAATTAAATAAAGCAGTGCAACAGAGAGTGACAAGTTGGGTGGGCAGGACAGACGTCTCTGAGGAGGTGACATTCATGCTGAGATCTAAATGTCAGAAAGAGGAAGTCTTACAAAGTTCCGGGTGGAAAAGTGTTCAAGGCAAATAAGAGCAGCCAAGGCAAAAGCTGGCATCCACCCGGCTCATTCTGGAAGAGGAGGAAGGAGCCACTGTGGCTGGAGCATGGACGAAAGGGTGGGAGGAAGGTGACTCACTGATGTGGGTGGTGTCAGACCCTGACTTGAGCACCATTGACTTATTCCAAGCAGCTATAAAAACACATTGAAGGGTTTTGAGTAGAGGAATAATATGCTCTGAGTGGATCTGTCCGCTGTGTGGAGAGTGGATGGGGTGGGCAAGGGCTGAGGCAGAACCAGAGCCAGCCCACTCTTACACTGGCCTGTGGGTGACATCATGGCACTAGGGGATGGGCAGGTGTCAGCCACTGAGGTCTGATTTGAGAGGTGCTTTGTAGGTGACCCCAGTGAGACTGGCTGGTGGATCCAACATGGCACATGAGGATAAGAGAGGAAGTGGTGACTGGGACTGGGGAGGCTGGAGCTCTATGAAATGTGCAGGTTCAGGGTAGAGTGGAGCCTAAAATTTTGTCCTTTCATTAGAGTTTGTACTGCAACTGAATGAAATAACTGCTGGGGGAGAGCCTTGAGAAGGAGGGTTTTGATCTTGAGGGAAATGGAGGAGCCACTAAGAAGAGTTTAGAGACTTGATTGAAGCTGCAGCTTGTTTTAAAATGTAGGTTTTATTATTATCCAGTATAGTGAGGTCAACAGAT